GGGATCATCAAGACTCTCCCACCGAACTCCCCTCTCCAACTGCTTCCAAGCCCCGAACTCGTTTCTCACCCACGTAGCACGGCACGGAAAACTTTTAGCAGTGTACCTAGGCACCGGAGTACGAAACGTGGAAGCGTTATGAGACACGAGGAAAGGCCCCCCTTCGTAGTCATCATGCCACCCCGGATGACCGCAACGGATACGAACCTCAGTAGGCAGCTCATGCTCAAGGTCAAAGCTTCCGGGAACTGCCTCACGAGCATAGACATCCTCTCCCTCCCCCAACACGTCTTGGTCGGCGGTACTTTGGTCGAGGACCCATTGCGGAACAGTAGGGGAAAACATGGTAACAAGCATGTCACACGTACTGATGGCAGCGCGCCTCACTCTACACGTGTTCAAGTCATCGACCCCTATGATCAACCAGGACTCCCCATCACGAACCAGAGAAACCCTGATTGGCCGATCCTGTCCGACGTGCTTGACGTCACCATCTTCGAGAGAACTAGCATTCTGGGTAACCTTAACAAAGCTTTCTCCGTACCTAGTCCAACCAGGGCCCTTAACACTATTCAAAAAGTTCAGCACCGCATGGTCTTGCACGATGGTACGCCTATCTTCAGCCTGAGTCGGACCCGTTTGATCGGTCAAATCAGCATAACTCACACCCTCAGGAGCTCTGCGAAAAGCTTGCAAGGCCTTCTGCATTCTGGTTCCAACATGATGGATTCTTCCTCACTGGCGTATCTCAAGTGCTCAGGGGCAACCAGATAACGACGGCCACCAAAAGTCACCCGCGCATTTCGCTTGCGCAAACCAATCGCACAACTCGGCCCAACCCAATTGGCAATCTTCTCTCCACTTTTTCTGTTCTTGGATTCTCTCCAAAAGAACACACGATCACCAATCTCCGGGTTCAAGCAAACTCTGGTTCGATTGTGCAAAGTGCGACTGAGCATAGTTCGGGTTTGATGTTTGATAAACTCCAAATCGAAACCTCACTTTGCGAGCAAGTTCACTCTCTCGTTCAGCCACACCGAAATGATATGAAGCTGGAGCTCCATCCTCAAACACTTCCCCCGAATATCGGGGCTCTCGACCAAACACCAAGCTGACAGGAGAAAATCCATGTTCACGGACCAAGCTGCTTTTGGCCACGCAAGTCTCTTTAACAGCGTCCTCAATCTCAAGTCCAGTGACACGCGCATGCTTGACAACGGCCTTCCATCATGGGTTTGAGAATTTGATTATGCTCTTAGATTTTGCCAGCTTGGAAATGGGCCTGCCCCGCAACACTGCGCAGTTCAATCCCTTGCACACTCAGCAGCCGGGACAACTCCTCAGAAGAAAAACCGCCCTCCTGATCACACGCGATCTCCCTGGGAACCCCGGCCCAAGTAAACCAACACCTTTTTAACCCAGGGAAAATATCACTCGCAGAATGACAGGCCAGCTTATAGACTTGATGAAACATAGTGCATTTGTCAACAACACTCAAAAACCAATGGCCCTTACCTAAGGAACCTCTGCAAGTCAGACACACTAGGATGCCCAAGGTTAAGGTGGATCTTTCGTAGGGCCTGTCGTAATGGTTTGGAAAGCAATCGACCTGGCGGCGCGTTGAACATCACCCCATCTTCTCCAAGACGCCCTTCATCCTCGTCTCGAAGTCTCGAAGTTGTTCATCTCCACCCATTGTCACGTCCTGTGGCTGATTTGCGCTTTCAACTGCTCCAATCCAACGCTGCAGAGTTCGCTGAATCTTTCTTTCACTCCACCTAAGAGGAATTCGGCTTTCCCTGTCGCGCCTGATTCGTTTTTGGACAGCACGCAACAAGCTCAGGACACGGCCAAGGTCTTTCCTCTTCAACATGCGGATGAAACCCTTGTGAATGCGCTGGCACAACAATCCGTCGACATGACCAACTCTCCGGCCACCCTTGCACAGCCACTGTTGAATCTCATCATGGATTTCAACACAACTCGCACGCCAAGTGATCACTTCACTGGTTTCATGGTTGCGTGATTCCACGACCGTGCAAAGCATGTCCGGATGACCCACGATCCTGGCCAACGCACCCTCAGCAGTTGCAACTTCAGCAGCCATGCATTTGCCAAGGATGTCTCTACCGCTCTTGATTTGCAAATCACACACTGGCTCAAGAAAACTCCACAACTGCGTGTGCTTAGTCCTGTCCCTACGCTGCTGCTGCCGCTGCATGTTGCTGCCGCCTCTCGCATCCCCACTAGCGGGAATCCTAGGACATTCAAAAACCACAAGTCGAGGCTGCTCCTGTTCCAGCTTTTCAATGAGAAAACGTTGATACTGACCATCAAGCAAGTCTCCAGGCACATGTTTCCCGATTTCGCAACAGAACCAACCCCATCTACTAAAAGCAGTACAAATACAACCATCCCCCGTACCGAGCTGGCCTGTCCAACCACAAAAGCTGCGCGATCCTCTGCTGGACCACCGCTCTCCGTGACAAAGGCACTCTTCTCCTTCTTCTTCTTGGTCTCCTCGAAGTAGGGGCATTCCTTGTCGGAACGCCAGTGCCCGTACACAGTCTTGCCGTGAGCACGGCAAGCGTTACAGGGCACCCTCTGCTTCACGTTGCTGATCCCCTTCGCCCTCTCTTCGCTGCTCTCGGCCTTCTGGAAGCCTCGGGCTCTCTCCACCATGGACCTTCTTAGGCAGCCTGGGTCATAAGAACTCCTGCTCCATGGCTTCGGCCATGGCCATCTCATCTTGGCCAGGGCTTCGTTCTCGGAGTTGTTGTTTCCAAAGTCAGCGACCATGTTGACACGATGATCCAATCGCCTACCCTTCCAAAGCCTTGTCTGGCCGCCGTCCTTATCTCCCTGGTGGTCAGCACAATTGATAGTCGGACTGATGGCTGCAAGGGCGTCCCTTAGCTTCTCATACTCGTAGCTGCCCCCCGAGGCTGATACAATCTTCTGGCGCATGTCCTCGAAGATGTTGGCCTTGGCCATGAACCAATACCCCTTCGTCAGGCCTTCTATCCCAGCCCCTGCTTCGCTCTGAAGGCAGAATCGTACGCAATCACATCTTGGCCCTTTTGCCTCTTAAACTGCCTTTAGAAGCCATGAAGGGTCAGAAACACACGCACGAACTCCAAAGGCTCCAGCTCGGCCCAAAGATGGTTCAACAGAATCTGCACCCCATCGTCACACTTGAGGCTATTGATGTCCAAGGTCTCTGTTGCCTTCCAGGCTTGTCCAGACATTCTTTCGACCAGCCGGCCGGCCTAACAGCACTTGTCGATGGACGTGGTCGACTCGAACAATCGCACCCGTCGCTGGTACTCTCATCGAAAACACCCCGTCACACTCAGGCACGAGCTCCTTTTCCCGAGTTCTTCTTCGAGGTCGCCGTTGACGACGACGAATGTCCTTCCTCCGAGGCCGCTATGCTGGCACTATCTGACTTGACAGCGCTGCTTTGCTCACTCCACCACCGGCAAAAGTCCTTAGTTGGCTGAACCATTTTCTCTCGATTCCACTCAATCGCCTGATCCAAGTCCAACCCAAGGGGGTCTCCCACCACTTTCCAGCACCCACGCTGGCGCTGGCCGAATCTATGGAGGAGCGCCTGCTCCAGGACCACTGCCACGGATCAGCTTGCTGGCTGTCGGTTGTGGTTGCACCTGACCACGTGTAGCTGCTTTGCCATGACTGTTGCCACTGCCAATCTTGCCACTGAGATTGCCAATTACTCTGATCACCGCTTGCCTGCTGCTGAGGCTGTTGTCCAGCTTGGACATTGTCTGTGCTCATGCTATCCCTGGATGAGTGCCCCTGCTCCGCGGCACCAATGCAAAATGCTGAGCGGAAGCAACTCACTCACAGCTCATGACTGCCACGCGCCTGCCTTTTCCTTCTCTAGCAGGAATCCCGGAGCCGCTATGGCATCGTACGCATTCAAGCACATACGTTCAAATCAATGCGCATCACAAACCTTTAGCACTATGAAGTTGGCGCTGGGCTGGGGCTGTGGTCCTTCGCAGTTGTTGCTCCATTTCTGCCATGTTCTTTGATCATTCATAGTTCTCCTTCGGGTGTCGTTGCTTGTAATCACCTTGGACTTTTCCTTTACAATTGATTTTTTTGAGTAACATTGGCTATGTGTCCTAGGTCCTTCCCCTTGCCCCAGGAAGCCCCTTTCCTACCTTTTCGCCGTAGAACCCAAATCTCTCCTCAAACACAAACCTTTCCTGCCCAGCGCGAGCTGCGTGCCGCGTCCCCGTCCGAAGCTGAAACCGTGTTTGTTCGTCGAGACAAGGTTCAGAACACGCTTCTTTTCTCTTTTGCCTCCACACCTCGTCACACGCATTCAAAAAGAGGTGTTCGTCAATTCTTGGATCTCGCAAGGAGAACAAATTTAGATATGAAATTCTCGGATTTTTTGTGGAAAGGAAAACTGTGTAGATTTTTCATGAGATCGCGCCGCCACATATACTACCTGAACTGCCAAACTAGGGAATGTGCTCAAGATCAGGGATGAACACGTTTTTCTGACCGCAAGCCCTATTGAGCAGAACTTCTTTTCCCCTCTCGGATCAGCGGCGTGTCTAATATCATTAAACTTTAGAACAAGAGCTAGTAGACAACATAAGTACTTACATGCTGCATCCAATCTGCTCAAGGGTTGAATGGAAAAGAAATGCCCAGCAACCGTACACCCTTGAGGGTATGGGCGTACCATTGAGAGGCATTCAGACAGCCTGCGTCCGTCGCGAACCAGTGCAGCTAGAGCGGACCGGAAAGGGGTAGGCGGCCCTCCGGTGCGGGCGCCCGGGCACTTAGGCGCGGCGCGGGAAAACGGGAAAAAACCCTTCTAAGAAGGGAAAAAAACCCAACTGTACACGCGCAGCGACGCGGACGACAGCCCGAAAAGCGCGTTCACTCGGCACATAAGTACTTAACAAAATTGTTTTCAGTTCTTCTCATACTCTTCCTATGTCTTCTCAGGGCTCGGCCACAGGCGCATCCCCACCCTGGGATACCTGGCCTTGTGTGAAGGCCAGAAAGAAAGTTGAAATTTTCTTCTCACCTTGCCATGCCTGCACTGAGAAGGTGTAGTAGGTGAAGGGTAACAAATTCAGAAGCTCGTGCTCGATGAAACCGCCCCGAAATTTGTGCTCGAAGATCACACTCTGCTCTGGGAAAGCCTCCAAGAAAAAGGCTTCAAGGCAGGAAGGCAGAGGTGAAGTTCTCAGAGTTCTCAGAGCTCAAAGCCTTGGCGCTGCCCAAGTGCTGTTTGGGGGTTGCCTTCACCTCCCCGGATGTTGCATAGGCATCAGGCATCGTAGCATTTAAGCTGCGCCTCGTACTCCAGCAGAGTGAGCCCCGGTGCCGGCTTGAAGTCGCCCCAGACCCTCACAGTGTCTCACAGTGTCTCACAGTGCTGCAGAGCGTCGCCCCCTCTTTTTGAAGCATGAAGCACCCGAGGCACAGACACCCTGGCGGCCGTGGCAGACATGACCTGCAAAGAGTCCGAGACCCTCTCCTTCTCCCTAGTCACTAGCCTGAGCTTTTGCAAAGCTGCCTCCACATTCACGGTCTTCTGTGCTTTCAGAGATGCCGCTGTGGGTGGCAGTGGAGAAGGGACCTGAGCGACGGATCCCCAATAAGGAGGCACCAAAAAGGAAAACCGCACTTAAGCTGGACCCGCTGGGCCCGTTGCTTCTGCTTATCTATTTGTTCTATGCGCTAATTAACGGGTGCCGGGCTTGAAAGAGGAAGGGGTTGGAGGTGTGTGACCATGCGGACCAACTCTTTCCGTTGCCCACCCGCACCTAACAGAAGGCGCGGAGAACTCTTCTCTTCACTCAACAGGAAAAGAAAAGAAAGCTCTGCAAGCTCCGAAAACAGAGAGCTCTGAAAGCTTAGAACGGCGCCTGGAAGACGTAGGCGCCGCCGTCCAGGAGCTTCGAGGCCGCGGGAAGCTGGCCGAGAGAAAAGGAGAGGCAAAGGCAGAGGTCCGAAAAACGAACTCATTAAAATAAAAGCGTTCCTTGAACATTTTCTACTCAAAGCCTCTGAACCTCTCCTTGTTTGACGCCTCGAACGTGCAGATGCTGCGACCGCTTAGATGATGGGCTCGGAGCTCCACAGGCGCTGTGCTTTGCCAATCACTTTTCAAGACCTGCAGATTTCAAGGCAAGCCGAGGCGCATGTCTGGAAACTTCACGACTCCCACCTCTCGCTCGAGGTCCAGCCGATGCTCCTGAGCTGGCAACATCCGCATGGGCTAGAGTCAGCATGTCCCCTGTTTTACTTCATGGACATGGGACTACCAAAGGAACCATTTCCAACCTTGATGTTCCCTTCTCTTAATACTGACAATAGCTGCTCAATATCTCGTCATAATATGTCTTTACAGCTGCAGCTTGCTTGCAGCTTGCAGCCGATGCTCGGGCAGCATGCTGGACCTAGCGGCTTAGCGTCAGCAAGATGCGGAGAATGGAATGCTGGAAAATGTCCCTTTGGGGAAGAGGTGACTGGGCGACTGGCTGCATGGAATAGCGCGCTTGCACCACCGTCACCTCATCTCTCTTTCTCTCCTTTCAAGATTCGTGAAACCTGTGAATGCCCACCAGACGGTGTCCGTAGCCCAAGGGCATGTGTTGTAGCCTCGCCATGGTGGTGGTAAGAAGCTGACACGCGGAGCACTCAAGTTGCCAAGGCTGCAGCGCAGTCTCCTCCCAAGACCTCAACGATCCAAAACCGAATGCAAGACGGCAAGAACAAGCTACAGAGTGCAACAACAGACTTGCAACCGTACAAAGCCATGCGATGCGTCCAAAAAAGTGGGGCCTAGCTGAACCTAACTCTTCGACGCGGTCCACCGGTGCTTGGGCTGCAATAAAGAGCAGCTCGACGGGTGAGATATAAGATGAAGCAGCCCTCAGCCCTTGCTGTTTGAAAAAGATGGCCACGATCACTCAGTGACAGACTTTGTGTGTCTTGATTGCTTGATAACTGTTCAAGACTCTGCCAGCTTCTGCTGCGTGTTCTCTGCCTTTCCCGCGGGATCCAGTTGTCAGAATTTTCCACGCTCGCCTCATCATGATAAGCCCTGGGCAAGCCGCTGTAGAAATGAACCATCTTGTCCACAAGTTGTCAACCACCCCCAACTAAAGTCCACAGGCTCGGGCTTATAATCAGGAACCGAAAGGGGCGAGGGATATCCCTTGTTCTCCCTTGGTTTGATTCAGGAATGTACACCACAGTCACTAAAGAAACTAGACGACATCTCACTGGAATTGAGGAATTGCTCTTTCCTGCATTTTTTTTGTTCTGGAAGGTTTCATTCTAAAATAGCAGTAAGCATACCCACACAATCCAACATCTACATATTGAACAGCAGAAATATGATTCAAATCACTGCTTAATTGGGGATCTCCTCAACTCTCCTGTGGTTTGCTGACTGAATTGCCGAGTTGGAAAAGGATTGCCTTTACGACTCTAGGATGTAATCAAAAGGATGGCCTTAATTGAAGTACAACGAAAAAAATTCCAGCAAGGAATGATTAAAGGGAAACAGCTTGTCAGTCCTTACACGTCCTTGGTGTAGAACTGGAGGAGAAGGGGTTCCCGTGTGAAGAGCTGGGGCACCGTACTCATGCTTTTGCGCAGGAAGCAGCTGGGCCTTGCGCAGCTCCGTCAAGTCCTGCACTTGGACACTTCAAGTCAAAGGCTAACAACTTGCAGTTGATGCGGGAAGACATTCGTGCCAAACCCATTAAGCTCCAAATCAGTGCAGTCAGTTCTCACGGGGGCGCTATGTGCAGGAGGGCGTCGTATAAACAGGAGGTGTTTCCCCCCTCGAAGCCTTCTCCTCCTCCTCCTCACTCTCGCTGTCGTCATTTTCATCACCTGCAACTGACAGGAAGGAACGCTCCGAGTCCAGAAAACACCAACCATGGGAGCCAAGTGGGTGAGGGGCGAGGCGGGAACCGTGCATCGGAAACCTGCAGGGGCGAGTCGGAACCTCGCGGCGATTGACTCGGGAACCCAAAGGTGCGAGTCGGGAAGCTGCAAAATGCGAGTCAGGAACCCGTGACGGCGGCGAGTCAGGAAATCCGCATACACGACAGGAACAACAGCGAACGACACGACAAGACCAACCCAAGCAAACCAACGCGACAAAAACGACCGACCATACCAAAACGACCACATGACCGACACGATCGATACCACTGGCACGGCCCACCCAGCCGATCAGCTGATCAGCCGGTCAGCCGATGAGGCGATCGCCCAATCAGCCAATCAGCCAAAGCCAAACAAGACGTACGAGAACGACACCACCGGACCAACAGGACGGACAACACCAAGACGACGAAGCGGGTGCTACTGCGACCAACAGGAACGCCACGACCAACACGACCAGTCCGATTCCATCAGGACCAAGTCGACCAGCAGGACCAACACAACCAACAGGCGACATGAGCAGTATTGTCTGTGCAGTCCGGGGGTGGGGCCTAAACAATGAACAAGTGATTTTCTGAGGGTCTTTGAACTCATGGGGCGCAGCCTGGAACAATGCGGCGAACCCGGGACCAATGGTGCGAGCTCGAAAAACAACAATGGGTTTACGACACTCAAACCCTTTTCACGAATGCCAAACAGAATACTGGCCTGCAACGGCTTCGGCAGTCGCTCTTGCCCAAGCTTGTCCTTTGAAATGCAAACCGAGTCGGGTGGCTTTGAGGTTGCGGTGCTTCGCACTCGCAAGGTCACCATCATCGTCGGATTTCTTGAATCTCAAATGGATGGTCAATCACAAGCGCTCCACTCATGACCGCCGTCAAAAGTTCCTTTGAAACACTCCCTTTCGTGAGTCCGTCGGCAATCATGGATCTGGTATCGGCCCAAAACAGATGCTGCAATCGAAGCTTTGCAAGGAGAGCCCTCAACCAACAGACATGCAAGAGCAAAGAGGGCGGCTCTGCTGGTACTTTCACACGCGGGGCTGTCACAGCAGCCGTCATTGAACGAGCAGCAACAACGAGCCCGAGCTTTGTAGAGCACCGAGTTCCATCCTCGATGGCTGCACGTGCGTCACTCGGCGACAGAACTCCATTCAGCGATAAGAAAGCAAGCAACCCTCCAGGACAAGGCGTTATGTAGCCTTATTACCACTGAACCTGGGTTCGATAGGTGAACCTGTCTTACTGGTGTGGTATCCTTCCAGCGCACTAGCGGGGTACGCCCAACTTCAAATCCTGGAAATGTCTGCCGCACCCGCACAGCCGGCTAGTACTGACCTGGTGGTCAACCCTAAAACTTCACGGATTGACTGTGTTATGAGGCCAGTTTTACCTTTTGATGCTTTGCGCACCTTCCTCCAGATTTATGACTAGGCAGGCAAATTCGTTGAATCCGCTACCGGAAGGTAGTATCCAAGTCCTTAAGCTTGGCGCTATTCCAAATCTCAATTCCATCCTGAAACACTCTCACTCCGTAGCCTTGACGCTGAAGAAGGACCTTCAACTCCAGCACGTATCGTTCACTATGAATGGCGATAACACCGCTTGGGAACCTATCTGACTTTATTTGATCGGTTAATAATATTCACCTTTGGCTGGTATTTGCAAGAGTTAGGAACCCACTCGTCGTTTTTTCTACGGAGCTACCAGTGTTATTGGGCTGGAGTGATGGAATTTTCTTCTTAGAGTCTTCTTCCTGAAGATCCGAAGTCGGCTCAGCACTGAGAATGTTATCAATTTGTGGCTGCAACTTATTGGACGTTAGCTGATTGATGCTATCCATCATATTCTGAGGGCTAGGAGTTTCAGGGGCTGGGCCTTCGTCCTCAGGCTGAAGGCTTCTCAATGACCTTCGCGTCGGCTACACCAGGTGTAGGAGTATCAGGTACTTCCTGGATTGGATCATAATCGACTTCGACTTTGATCCCTGAAGAACCTGATTACGCCTTCCTTAGGTCCCATAATTGGGAAAGGAGCTGAGGGTCCAGGTCTCGCTCACTAGCCGCAGATCCTCGTGGCTCTTCAGGAGGCGGAGTAACCCCGCATTTTCTGGTACCCACTACGCCACTACGCATTCTGCCTTGAGACAAGAACTGGCTTTAGCCGTGCCAGACTTAACAACCGTACAACCTGCACTCCTTCTCCTGAAGAGATTTCATCAACTTCTTCTTTTATTTTGAGCCTGGAAAAACCACTATTGGTTTAGGCTTAGCACTCCCAGTAGATCTGCCCTTCAACGCACGCTTGCTTCTTGGAGGTGTTGGAAGCCTCCGCGTGAGTCGTGCGACCGAGCCAGACCTTCCACTGGCGCTTGCCTTATTTCGAAATGTTGTCTTCTTTCCCCGAAACATGGCGTTTCTAGGGTTACGTGGCTTTTTCGGAGCCTCTACTGACTTCAATAGACTCTTCTTCTGAAGCTTGTTTCGTAACCTGCTCATACCAAGGCGGGGGCTGGCTAGGTTCCTTTACTCGAAGCTCAGGGTTCTCACCCCAAATCCAAGGCGGAGGTGGATGTTTAGACTCTGTAGGCCAGTTGCGTGGCCTCCAGGCTTTGCAAGAACTTTCGCCTGTCGAGCCTTAAGTTCTTTTCTCTCTGCTGCTGCGAGAACTTTTGGGTCACGTGATGGCATATATTGGCCACCACCATGCCATACACAGTCTTTCATTACTGTGTTGAGCTAATCCGCATATGGAGCAGAGATTAGCACGAAGAACGCGTCGGTAGTGACAACGACTACAAGGCGTAGCACTCAGGCTGACCACCTTTTCTAC